TTCTTCAAATAGTGTTGATTCACTGCATTGCTGGCAGTTTCTTTGGATACAACATTGGTTTTGTGGGGCCGTATTACACCTTTGTTAGGGTTAGCCGTGAGTGTTCTCTTAACACGGGGGAGAGTGCATGCGTGAGCTTTACTCCGGGTCAATGTATTTGGCATAATGGGAACTGTGAATTTGTTAAATCAACTTGCACAGGTTTGGTGCGGACGGAGTGCAATTCTGGTGTTGCTCATAGGCAAAGCCATTGTCATTGGAATACGCAAATCGGTGCTTGTGAGCCTTTAGTTGGCTACACTGCCGTGGAAAACGGAATGTTTGCCGCTAGCATGATTGTAGGTGGTTGCCTTGGTTCAATTGGTGTTGGGTTTTTGATAACTGTGACAGGACAAAAAGGAACTTTTTTAATTGCTGGCATTTTGGCATGTATGGCGTCTCTTTTGACGCATGTGTCCACGTACACGGCACAGTATCCCATGGTTATTGTTGGTCGTGTGCTGGCAGGTGTTGTCTCTGGGGTTCTTTGTGTTGTTTCTCCCATGTACGTGGAGGAGGTAACACCTGTGTGCCATCGACAGCTCGTCGGCGTGTTTTTTCAGCTTGCGTGTACGCTGGGTATTCTTTTGGCGGCAGCCGTGGGATTGGCCTTAAACCCACGGGATTTTTCGAAAGACGTTCATATGCAAGTACGCCACCAAGGATTATGCATACCGAGCAGCCTTTTTAGTGGGTTACTCGTGATTGTTGGTCTATTGATGCAAGAATCCCCCAACTGGGTAGAGCAGGTGCTTCCTAGGAGGGGGGCAAGAGAGGAATGGCGCTCTATCAATGCCCCACTAAGAGGCAGAGTTGGGGGTGCGAGTGATGTTGTTGAAGGAGCAACCGAACCTAATAATGCACGGCCTTCCTGGAGTGTCTTAGCTCAACCTCTTTTTACGGCGTTTATCCTCTGCATTGCCCAACAAATGACAGGGATTAATGCAATCATGAATTATGCCCCTACCATTACAAGTGCCTTGGGTTTCGCACCTCTTACTGGTAACCTTTTTGTTATGGCTTGGAATTTTGCGTCTGTCCTCGTATCGATTCCATTATCATTTAAATACAGAGCGGATCACATGTTTAACATCGCATTGTCTATGGCCTCAGTTTCGTGCTTACTGACAGGCATATCACTCTTTCCAGCCGTCGGTGTATCTGTCACGGTGAAGCGGGTGCTCTCAGGTCTTGGGATTGCTCTATTCATTTTCTTCTTTGAGGTCGGGATGGGAAGCTTTTTTTGGGCTCTTTCTCAGGGCATTTTCCCACCGACGTTTCGCGCGCGAGGATCGAGCTTAACTATACTCCTTCAATTTGTTTTGAATATCATCATGAATCTGGGTTTCCCTGTGGCCGTAGAGCAACTCTCGGGTGGGCCTACTGAAAACCAGGACAAAGGCATGGGCATAGCCTTCATGGTATTCGGGGGCATTGGCATTGCTTCTGCTGCGTGTCTTACCAGGTATTTGCGTCTGTGGGATGCGGAGTAGATGTTCTTGGCCACGACATTGTATTCCGTTACTGGAGGTTTTCTTTTGTTTCTTTATTGCTATTGTTCCATCTATGATGCCATCGTTTTTTTTCTTTAGATTTTTCATAGTAAGTGTGTACGCTGTTGTTGTTGTTTTTGTTTTGTGACCGCCGGAGAACCCCGGCCGCTGCTCCGTCGCGAGAAACCACAGACTCGCAACAATGACAACGACGGAAGCGCGGGGAAATTGCGCTAAACTGCCTGTCGGGGTTCACGTTTTTTTTTTGCTTTCTGCCTTCTGCACCTGCCGTGGTCGGCTCGCTTTACCCAAAAAAACGCAAGAAGCGGGAGTTTCCTCCCATAGTCATAAATAGCAGCGGGCGAGAGCGAGGGGAGCGGCCGGCCAGCCCCCACGGAGAGCCTGAAGGGAACGATCGGCGGCAGGGGATGTACGGGGTGGGGGCGGGTGGGCGTGCTGAGCCCGGGCGAGGCCAGCGGCACAGTGAAGAGAGGGACCCGGAACCCCCGTTTTGTTTTTCCATCAAGTTTGACGCCGACCCCGCGGAGGTTGGGGACAGTGTGTTTCGTGGCGCCCAGGCATTTCGATCGCCCACGGAGATTGCGGTGCCACTGCAGATGCCCCTCAAAGGGGCTGCCGTGAGTGACTTACTGTCAAGCTTCATGCTCCGCACATTTCGCCGCTTCCCACATCTCTCGACCCGTACCGTGGAGGCCTTCTTCATCGATGCCGATGGGAATTGTCTAGCGCCGCGTGTGGGCCTGGGACACCCGCATTTGTTGCGCCTAGACGCGTGCGTGAACAGGGATGACACACTGGACAACTTCTTTACCCCCGTGAACAAGCATGGGCGAAATGTCTACGACGTCATCGCCCACTGGACCTCCCCGAACCTGGCTGGCACCGCCGCGAATAACGCCCCCCCTGCGAAGGTGAAAACGGCTGAAGATGGAGAAGAGGCTCCCAGCGACACAGCTGCAGCGACGAATACGCTTCCGGCACCTGTTATCTACCCCTTTACACACCGTTGCACGTACGCAAGATTACTGCCACGTGAGTCATCGTCTCAGCTCAACGCTGTTCCTCCGAACGACGAAGCGGAGGCGCCACTCCCAGCAGTTTTTGTCAGCATTGAGAGAAGAGAACTCGCACGGAAGGTGCGACGTGCCCTGGAAGGCAAAGAGCGTGTGGCTCGAGATGCAATTATTGGGGACGAGCGCAGCTACCGTGCTGTGATTGCGGAAGTGGAAGATGAAGAGCGAGAACAAACGGTAGCGCTTCTTCGTTTGATGGACGTTGATGTCCCGGAATGCGGCGTCAAAGCGACGTCCGCGCCAAGGCAGCGGACCTTCCGGGACACGGAGCCGCTTGCCTCGCTTCCCAGCGCGCCGTACATGACAGAATTGACGCAGCGTGCGGAAGAAACGGCGTGGCTCTCCCGCGTCTTTGCAAAGACGTCAATATCCGGTCCTGCTCTTGCCGCCGCCAAGGAGAAAAATAATTTGGGTGCGTTTCGTCAGGCGGACACTGCGTATTCGGCGGGGCTTGACGGGGAAATGCAAATGACTATTGAGGCTTCCAAGGCCAGGCAAGACCTCATCCAGCACTACGCAGATGTGCGCTGCGACTTGCTATTGTGGGAGCGTCAGTCATTTCGCTCCCTCACGATGGAAATGCGCAACATTTTGGCGAAGCAGAAGCAACTGGATGAGGAAATTGTGCGAAGGGCGTTTTCGGAGGAGATTGAGAAGGCCTCAGTGTTAGAGTTCGGCGGCTACGTACACCATTACAACCATAAGCACCTGCGTGGGGAGCTCACTGAGACTTCGGATACGGAGGTAAATTGTATTTCCGATGCACCCAAGGATTCCAATGGCGTGATCCCCTTCGTCGTTCCGCGGCCTGTCAGCCCTCCACAGGCTCCAGTGTTTCAGGAGGGAGCCGCAATGGGCGCAAAGGATGCTGGATCGCGCACAATTTCAGTGCCAGGAGCAAACTATCCTCATTCTGTGTCGGCGGAAGACGCATATTTGCGTGAGGCGCTGGAGCGAAGTAAGGCACGCGCCAAAGCTGCTCTGGATACGATTGCTCGTATTGATATGCGGTACTATGAGCCTGTAGCATTCAAACTTGCGAAGCATCGACTTTCGTTCGATGAGAAGGGCGTGAGAAATGTGCTGCTCGCCGAGGAGGAGGAGGCCTGGAGGAAGGTCTCGGAGTCTTACAAAGAAGACGAAGCGGAGTTGGCAGCCAATGCCTACCTTGCTCTGCAGCGAGTGTTTGAGCCTGTTGTCAAGGCAGAGGAAAAGGCTAGGGCGGCTCTTGTTGAGCAACAAGAGCGGCATCTGGCACTGCTTCTTTCCTTGTATCATCATGGCATGGAAAGATTGGAAATGTCGCGGCGGCACCCATTGGCCGCGGATGTATAGTCAGTTGTATTACTCTTCCTGTTATTTATATATATATATATATATTATTTTTTTTTTCGTGATTGCCCAACGGTTTTTCGCGAGCTGGAGCAGTGTGATGAGTACATGTACCACGTGGATTCTTTTGGGCCGTGTGTGTGGGCGAGTGTTGTGTTTATCCTCGTAACATCTTTCTGCTCTCTTGTCGTTTTACTCCCACATTTGGCCGTTCCCCCATCTTCTGTGGCCTGTGTCCCCAGAGGCGAGAAGCGCGGGAGGCGCACACGTATTTGTCCAGGAGGAACAAATGCACCACGAACCAAACTCCCTCCTTCCCTCGCTTACACACACATACACACACATGTGCTTCCTCTCACATTCTTTGCGAGAATGAGGAAAAGAGAGGGCGAGACAGCAACACCGAAAACAAAAAAAAACAAGAACAAGAACAAGAACAACAAACTGTTAAAACATGAACGAGCGTTGGATCGTAGACACTTTGTCCCCCGTTTTTCTCTCACTTCTCTCTTAATTGCAGCCTGCCGTTGTATCTGTGCGGGTGTGTTCGCACGTGTTTGTTGACAAATTCTGGCGTCCGCGCGAAGGTGTGACTTTATAGCCATGGCGTTGCGACGCTTCCTTGAACGTCGACTGGCACCGCTACCGCTCGGTTGCAGGGGTTGCTGCTGCACCAAGTCTTCCGGTTCCAAGCCACAACGTCTGCATGTAACGCGTGGAGGACTGAGAGCATTTGTATCGTGGCAGTATTCACTTCATGGGAGTTGCATCTGCGCTGCGCTTTCCTCTTCTAGAGCTTTTATTCACTCGCCAGATAGAGCAAAAATGTCTTCCCCCGCAGAATTGCTTGAGCGTCTCCAACGCGTTGTTGGCTTGGATGAGAAGAACTCCAAGGACCTGTCTACGAAGCCGGAACGCGTGCAGGACCTCCTCGCTTTCTTTGCGAGCCAAGACATGGAACCGGATTCCCCTCGCGAGCAAAAGGTGATGCTTTTTAACGTGTGGACCAAAGTTAAACTCCCCAAGCACCGCGCTATTGTCGCCGCATATGTGAAGCAGGGCAAGTTGGATTCCACACAAAAGGTGGATGCCGCTGTGCGGTTGGTGAATGCCATGAAGGAAGATACTCCCTTCGATGCAGCCGCATTTGAAAGGGACTGTGGCGTCGGTGTGGTTGTCTCACACGATGAAATCTTGCGACGGGTGAAGGCGGCATTGGCAGATGAAGATCTCAAGGCGTTGAAGACGTCATGGATGAAAAATCCTAACATGTTGCTCGGCCGGATGAAGCAGGTGCCGGGCTTACAATGGGCCGACTTCACCGTGGTGAAGACCGTACTTGAGGAAGTAGTGCCACCCATGATTAAGGATGTCGTCGTTGATGAAGCGGAGACCAAGACCAAGGAGAAGTCCCCCACCCTGGCTCAAAAAAAGAGTGATGAAACTGCAGTGACGAGCAAGTGCCCACGCAACGCGGATTGGAAACGTGTTGTAGATCTGCATTCAATTACACGCATTGGTGATTTACCATCGGTGCAGGAGGGCACGAAGGTGCAGGTCGTGGGGTGGGCACACCGAGTTCGTCACCAGTCGCGTCTCTCTTTTGTGGTGGTCCGAGACGGATCGGGGTACATTCAAGCCGTCTTCAACGGTGAAGTGGAGCCGTTTCACCGCGAGACGTCCTTGGCGATTCGTGGCACGGTGAAATGTGAGCCCAAGGCCAAGGCCGAACTGCAGCCCCCATATGAGCTTTGCGTGGATGAATACGCCATTATTGGTAACTCCGACGGCAGCATTGAAAATGTTATCACCGCTGAGAGCTCCCCTGACAAGCTGTTGGATGATCGTCACTTGGTGCTTCGTGGAACCTATGGCTCAACAACCTTAAAGGTTCGTCATGAGGTCATTCGAGCTTTTCGGGAATATTTTTGGTCAACAAACACGTATGAGGTAACGCCGCCAACTCTTGTAAACACGGAATGTGAGGGAGGCTCCACCCTCTTTGACGTCATGTACTACGGCAAGAATGCTTACCTCACACAGTCGTCTCAGTTGTATCTTGAGACCTGCACCGCTGCGTTGGGAGATGTCTATTGTATTCTCCCCAGCTATCGGGCGGAGAAGTCCAAGACGCGACGCCACCTAAGTGAATACTCACACCTTGAAGTTGAGTACAGCATCTGTGACTTTGAGATTTTCCTCTCAAGGTTGGAGGACATGATTGTGGAAGCATTCAATCGAACCATTGAGCGGGTGGGGCATTTGGTTGCCTTCATGAATCCGGGGGAATTGTTGTCTCCAGACGCAAATCCCCGTGACCCGAAGAGCTGGAGGTTTGCCCCGAAGAAGCCGTTCCGGCGCCTTCGGTACAGTGAAGCCATTAAACTTTGTAACGACAACGGCATTTTTAACCCAGAGACAAACGCCCCGTTCCAGTTCGGTGAGGATATCACGGATCAACCGGAGCGAGCCATGGTGGCGTTGTTGGGGGAGATGGTGTTCATGACGCACTTTCCTGCAGTGATGAAATCGTTTTACATGGCCCGAGACCCAGAGGATCCCACCCTGACGGAGTCTGTTGACGTGTTGGCGCCAGGAATTGGGGAAATTGTCGGCGGCTCCATGCGTATGTGGAACCACGAGGAGCTGATCGAGGCGTACAAACGCGAAAAACTTGACGCCAGCGCGTATTATTGGTACACGGATCAGCGCAAGTACGGTTCCACCCCCCACGGCGGGTTTGGTTTGGGCTTGGAGCGCTTCTTGGTGTGGCTTCTGAACCTGGACTCGGTGAGGGAGGCCTGCCTGTACCCGCGCTATATGGGAAGATGCGAGCCGTAGTGGAGGAGCGGAGGAAACCCACACGTCATTGCCAGGTAAAATAGTATCCGTAATAAGGCTAGGAAAGGCACACGTGGAGTAAGCGAGGAGGAACTGGAGGAAGGGAGTGCGAGAAAAAGACAGAAATAACGAAATATATATATATATATATATATATACATACACGCAGAGAGAGAGAGAGAGAGAGAGAGAGAGAG